CTCCGCTGGCACCCGCTCAGAGGCGTTAGCGGCGTGAGAGGGAAGCGGGCGGCGAGGAGGAGAACTGCGTGCGGAAAGAAATGCCAGGTAACAGCTGAGGTGCCTGAAGAGGATCTTGGAATGCTAAGTGGGCAATAAAGTGATGCGAAGTTCAGTGTTAAATAAGTGAAAAGTCACACATGTGGAGAAAACCACCTTAACTATACTTACCGATTTATATGTATATGTGTTGTCATTTAGGAAAGATTTTTAGAGGGTAGATACTTCTGTGAAACTCATGCCCAGCAGTTATCATAAAGACAAATAGTTATAAACTAACTAGGACAGCACTAAAAGACAAGACAAAAAATCACCCCTTGGCCACCCCAGTAGACCGTATCTTCAGAGCTGTGTGCAGTTCTGGTTCCCTCCATCATGGAAAGCAGATTGTGGAATTGGAAAAAGAGTGCCAGGGACAATGAGATATGGAATGGTTTCAGGATAAAGGGAGACGAGATAGACTAGGACTTGTGTCATCTTGTTCAAGCAGTGCACTAACATCTTCATTTCATTTTTTTAGAATGATAATAAAGAAAAAGAGAAAAGAAGTTTATGAGGAACCTATAAAGAAAAAGGTGAAAAGTAGTAGGAGCCATACTATTATTCAAGTTGAGAAAAGTGTTCAGACTGTCATTAAAACTGAGGATGATGATCAGCTTGAGACAAAAACAAAGGTGAGGAAAAAGGAAAATTTAAAAGAAGATGAATGTTTAGACCAATTAGAACTGAAGAAGAAGAAAAACAAGAAAAAGAAAGTTGACTCTGAGTTGCTGAGAGAAGCACATTCAGAAAGCTTTGTGAATCTAGGCAGCCATCTGGATTCAGAAGCTCAAGAAGAATCAGAGGAACAAATTAAAATTCTCAAAAAGAAGAAAAAAAAAGTGCAATGTCATTCCTCCTTGTCATTGGAGAATAATCAGAGTAGTGATGTGGGGCTTTCAAATCGTCATACAGATGGTCCTAAGGAAAATGAATTTGCTTTTAAAAAAAGCAGAAAGAATACTGCTTTGAATTTGGAATTGGATGGTGAAGTAACTAAGAAAAAAAAGAAGAAAGGCATTTTTTCTTTTCCGTTAGAGGACATCCAGGACAGTGAACATAAAGAGTCTGAAAAAGTTCATAAAAAAGCACACAAATACATTTCACAAGAAAAAACTTTTACTGGTGAAAACCATGGAGCAGATACTATCCTGAATGATGGGGAGAGTTATGTGAGAAGAAAGAAGAGAAAGAAGAAGAAAGATAAGTCTGACTGCTCCCTACCACTGGCAGAGAATCAGGATAATGTCTGTGGAGTTCCTGATAGCCCCATTGCATTAAGTGACTTCAGAAAAAGGCAAAGAAAAAATTCCCAGGAAATTACATTCACAAATAGAGAGGAAGAGGACACTGAGGACACTGCTAACTCTGGCAGGATCAGAGAGACCAAGAGGAAGAAGAAAAGCAAAGCTGTTTCTTCCTTAATATGTGAGGATGATCAAGGCTACAGTCACAGAGTTCCTGGTAAGCATCTCCCCGCAGAGCAAGAAGCTGAGTCTGGGGAAAAAGAGCTTTCTAGAAAAACAGGCAGGAAGAATATTAAGGATAATAATGAAGTACTCAAGAATAAAAAGAAAAAGAAGATTCAGAAAGAGGAGGAGGAAGCAACATACTCAAAAGTTTTAAGCAATGACAGTGTATCTAAAAGCCAAAAAATAACGCTACTAGAAAGCAATAAAAAGAAGAAAGAGTGTGAAATGCAGCAAGCTGAATGTGTCACAGGGGACGCTGTAGATAGGGTATTATTCAACAGTAATCACACGCTCTGTGACAGAAAAAGGAAAAAAAGAAAAAAAGAAGTACCACAGAACGTTGCTGAAGAACCAGGTTCAAAAGCAAATACAAAAAAGAAAAAGATTAAGAGAGAAGACATGGGAAATGAGGCACTGGTAAGTTGTAAAGCGGGCAGGTATCTTTGCACCCTCCTGCTAAGGAAAGGAAAGTTTTTTTAGGTAGGTAGTTCCTATGTTGCAGGCTGTTTGCCTGCTCAGACCCTTCCCTTACCTTTAGGGCAGTAGGGGCCTCCACTGGGTTCTGAGCAGCAGGATCAGCTGATCTGTTGCTTTCAGCACGTAATAGTTGTGAAACACGGGAAAGTATTTTTTTAATGCCTGCAGCTGTAGTCATCTAGTGTTTCAACTGTGAAAATATTACAACTAACAGCAAGTATTGGCACAAAATGAAAACTAGTACGTGCAGTCAGAAGTGTTCTTCTGTCCCTCCTTCAGTTGCTCTTAGCAAAGTGGCAACACTCCTGTAAGGTAGGATTTTAATTGCATGCCATTTAACCTGAGCAGCTTGGTAACACTGGCAGCATGAGTGCATCTAATGGTGTTTGTTAGATTTTTCCTCAAGCTTTTGCTGCTGGAATGGCGTCGTGTTAGACACAAGGGGGAAATTTAGCCAAACCCTGTTGTCCAACGTGGACAAAACTTTAGCGAAAATCTGAAGAATCCTAAGTGTTGACTAGGCCTAGAGTACTGATGTGTAAATTCTGGTAGAAAAATACTAAAGAACAACCTAAACACAAATTCTTAGTTAAAAAAAAAAATCTATGCAAGAAAATAAATATATATCAGAGCTGTGTAAATTATAACTGAAGGTAAATTGTATCCAGACTGACTGTTAAAGGAAATCCCATCCCAGAGTCTTGCAGTACTGCCATTTCTGAGGTGAAACAAACATCAGGAACTGATGAAAGGTTTGAAATGCAGAGGTTTCTTCCCTTTTTTCCCCCCCCCCCCGGAAAAGTAGACTATAAGATCTGGTTTTTTTGCTTTAACTTTTTAACTTCCTTTTTTTTTTTTTTATCTGATTAGGGTCATGTTTTAAAGCTATTTAAGTACCTAAAGTTAGTACCTACATGCCTAACCTCTGTTGTTATCATAGGAAATTAAGCTGTGGGATGCTCAGAAATTCAATAGTTATCTGTCTGTATTTTTAGATGCTTAAACAACTTTGAAAATAGCTCATTGCAAGTCATTAGGCGCTTGTTTTTATTTTCGTACGTAGTGGGAAACTGCAGTCCAGTTATTTTTTATGAAGAACTTTGAATGCTTGGCTTGTTTAAAAGTCAAGCACTAGTTAATAAAATCATTGAAGACTTGTAAATTAGGGATAGGGCGGGCCATAGCGCTATCTGCCTCTCAAGCAGACTTCGTCTTGTGCTTTGCTTTGTTATGCATTTGTATATGCAGTTTCTCATACTCTGTGGAAACCTGGCAGCTTTCTGGGGTCTCATGCTAATAATTAAATATAGATTTATATAAGCAGGTTCTTCAGCCTTCATGGAGACTCAGACACAGGCTTTTTCCACAAAGGTTTGTGCTGGGCATGTGTATACTTATCAGTCATTAGGTGAGCAGATGTTTGGGGCTTTTTTAATTAGGTTTCTCCTTTTGACCTTTCAAAGGACAAGGTGGTTTTATTGCTGGGATATATGTTCTAATTAAATTGACATTGCCTTTTTGAGACTGTTAGATGTTTCTTGCAGCTGCTCCCATCCTGTGGAGGCAAGATAAGCCTAACAATAACAAGTGAACTTGCATGACCAATTACAATGGAAAACACAGCAAATACCTTGCGAGGAATTGAGGAGAGGGCTGTAGGATGATGCATGTTTTGTTTCTCTTTCCCATATTCAGCTCTGTCCTTTAATAACAAAAAGTACTTCAGAGAAATTCTTCTGAAGATTGAGAAGTGTGGGTAAATCAGCTCTGGAGAAATCTAATTCCTGCCAGGCCAAAAGACACTGCTGTAATAAATGGTTAATAACATCGGTCTTGCATTTAACTGTGCCATAGTCCTGAACCATTTTCTAGTCCACAGTGTCACACACACTGCTGCATGCCCTGAAAAATCCGCTGTTGTGCTTGTGCAGCAAGCAAAAGAGTTTTTAAAGACAGTGTGGAGTGATAACCACATAATGATTCCTATTTTTCCCATTGGATGCCATTATAGTGGGCTTGGGCAGAGCGAGGAGCAGTAAGGACTCGGTTTACTACTTTGAAATTGTTTGCCTCCAGATAGCGTAATCCTACCACATGTGCTCCCCTTCCCTGAAGCTGGGAAGACTGGCACACCTCCAGAGGCAGTAATTTTTGCCATGCAGTAGCCTTCAGCCTGTGAATGAGCAGGGAGGGGGGTGCACCCTTCCTCCCTCCTTGTCTGCCACTCAACCTTCCAGCTAAAACAAAAATACTTTGCAGCTGTTTGCAGAATCCTGTCACAGCAGGTTTCCTGCTTGTTTTAATAGATCTGAAAAGACACTACCAGGCCATCTTGAAGTAAATTGGGGTGTTTTTTTGTTTTTTGCTTTTTTCTTCTCATCCAAGAGAATGAGCTCTGCTTATTGCAGACAGTGTTCCCGCATTTTTAATGGTGCATGTACTTGCATATGTGTGAAATCAATGTATAAAAGGTAGCTTTGGAAAACTATGTAAATAATTCATGGCTTTAAATTAAACTGTAAACCCTCAAAAAAGCAACAGCAGCTTCTGCTGACAGAAGGATGTTACAAATCTTTTCCTTAGTGTTCCCTGGCTATTTCATGCTTGGATTATTATGTTAGCTGCATCGATAGGTCTTCCCTTTGGCCACCTTTTCCAGGCTGGTCTAAAGCTTATGGCTCTAATTTACCACTATACTGGACTTATTACTTATCCTGTTATACTGGATGGCCAAAAATCTTGGCCTTATTAGAAATCTGGAAAAGAAGGGCTGAGGGCAGTGATCTAGAAATGCCAGTCAATGGGAGCAAAAGCTGCTGAAGGGCTGTGCTCTGTGGAAGAGTCATCAGTATCTGGGTGCTTGTGTGCTCTGTCGCTGATGGACCTCCTCCCACCCTGCCCCTTCCTGCTGTGGCTGCTCTGCCTCTTCACATCAGCTCCCTGTTCCTCACTCTCAAATGTGGAACTAACGTGCTGTTTGCTGCCACTGTAGGATACGCTTTATGTGTGTCATGTCTCTTCTCGTGCTCTTTCAAGACTGGAAGCTCCTTGCAGACCATCATCTAGTCTACATTTGTACAAGACGGAGTACAGTGCAGCTGCTTCTTGATTTTTTTTGTTTGTTTGTTTGTGTTGGTGGGTTTTTTAAGTGGCTAATGGGATCAACATGCTTCAGGCTTGTCCTGTGCATTCAGAGGAGCCATTATCTTACCACCATTTTTTAAATTTCTCCTTTTTACTTTCACTCTTGCCTGTCCCTCATTTCAAGTATAAATTTCAACTTTTATGAAACTATTTAGTTTGAAATAACCCTGCCTGGAAACGTTAGTGTAATACCAGTGATGTTAGCAGGTCCATTTTAATGTGTGAATTTAAAAAAAAAAATCCCTTACTCTCTTTGTTAAAAAATTATAGCGTCTCCTCAAATTTCTGTTGTGCAAGCGCCTTGAGGAGAAAGTCTCTCCAAAGAAATGCACAGGTTTAATTGGCATTTCCAGCTTAGATCGGACTATCTCTTCTTGCCCCAAAGTACTACTGCTGTATTGCTTAGTGGTTTTACTACTTTTGTGATAAGAGCTGTGTAAATTCTAATGAACCAAAATGGATAAAAGTATTCATACAAGCTTTTTCCTGTTTTACAGGAACATGGGGATGATGTAACTATTGTGCAGGAAAAAAAAGGAAACTGTGATGAAGTTAACATAGACAAGGTATGCATTGTCTTAACCGTGTAAGATTTAAAGCAAGTCAGCATTTAAGGTATGTGTAGAATTTGTAACAAAAAACATGCTTGATTGCTCATCTGCGCCAAAATTTCTCTAAATAGAGCTCTGCTTAAAATGTGCTTTACCTTTCATTGGTTAAATCCAAAATATATATAGCCTCAGTCAATGTCAGAAGCTTCTACGTAGCTTATTAGGTTTCTTTGCCTCTCATAAATGTTGGCAGTTTCAGTGTCGCTGTTACCTGCAGTTAGAAGATTAAACATACCTGACACAACAAAATGTTCATTTAAAATACTCCTACAAAAAGCATAGTTTTCAAGTTGAGTGTGTAAAAGGATCACATGCAACTTTTTAATTATCCTTGCAAAATTCTGAAAATTACTATATTATTCTTCCGTTTTCACTGTGAATGAAATTAACTATTATGTCTTGTGCTGTTTTTTCTGCATGCTAGGTGAGGCGACAGGCTCTGCAAGAAGAAATCGATAGAGAATCTGGCAAAACTAAGGTTTTCAGTCCCAAAATGGAACTGGTATGTATGAATTTAGACCTTGATGTGATGGAAATACTGTGTCCCAGAGCAAGTTCCTGAAAAAAAGCACTGCACTCTCTTGTGTATGTGGCTCAGGTACATGGCTTGGCACAACAGTCTTTATTCTGACTGTAAATTTAAAGGTCATGCTATAGAACAAGTTAGTACAATCCTAAGAGACTCTGGAAGCTGACCAGTGATCTCCCAACAGCAGCTGGCACTGTACAGAGCTCTGATTTCCATCATCAGTCCTCAAAAGCAGCATTTTCTCTGATTCCTCTGGAGAATGAGCCACGACAAATTGCTACAGAAGCATTTTCTGCTTACTGTGAAATGTAAATAATGTTAGGCTATGGATATAGCAGTCACTGAATTAGTATCTGAATTGCTGTCTGGAAGCAGACATTCAGAAACGGGTGTACATGGAAAGAAAGGTAAAAGGGATGACAACGTGTAACGCTCATGTCACTCGTGATATTTACAGTCAGTCTTCTCCTAACTTCTACGTCTTTCCTCCACCTCTTTGAGATGATTCTTTATTCTTTGCTTTTGCATCCTACTCAGCCTGCCTCCTGGCAGGTTTACAGTAGGGTAGTGGAAACTGTTGCAGTAGTGTGTAGCAGGGGTACAGGGAGGAAAGGAGGGAAAACTTTGCTAGTAATTCAGGATTCTTCATTGTTTCGCAAGACTGCCAGTATGCCTAGAAAGTTGGAATATACCTCAAACAAATGCCAGAAGGACCAACTGTAGGTTTTTACGTAGTGGGAGGCAGACTGCAATAGCTCTGGAACTGCAACTATCTAATAGGCTCTGAAGTCATTGAGAAAAATTACATCCTTGGCAGGGGATCTCAGTTCTTCGGTGCTGATCTGTCTCTGTTTAGCAGTATGCAGAAGAATAGAAGCTATGAAAACTAACTCATCAGCTTCAGGAAGAGTCAGCTGGAAATGCTGCAGCAAAAGCTATGTGTAGTGCCTGCCAGCAAGTCACTTAAAAAAAAATTACAGGGTTTGACAAGCCATAATTATTTTTGCATCTGTGCAGATGTCTCCCATTCCAAAGGGAAGGCATATATTTCCGTGTGCATGTCCATGCGTCTGTGTCACAGACCTGAGCTTATACAGCAGCTCGTCTTTGAGCAAGGTAAAAATACTGAAGTATTACAGATAGCTTTCTTTTAATAGCAGGTATTCTGGCCTGTGATAGCAAATGATACTCCAGCCTTTTTTTTTAACTTAAAAAAACCTGCTACAGCTTGCCTGCAATATTGTGTAGCATGCTGTGTGTTGTGTTGGCTGTCTAGTGGAGAATGACTGTTTCATGCAAGCTACAACTGTTCAGTTGGAAGGATTTCAGGCTTACATAAACACACTGCTACATTCACATATTTTCCTCTGATGTAGCCAGCTCAGTCTACTTAATAACGATCAAACATTCCTGCATTTAATCATAGAATGTTTTGGGTTGGAAGGGACCTTTAGAGGCCATCTAGCCCAATCCCCGTGCAGTGAGCAGGGACATCTTCAACAGACCAGGCTGCTCAGAGCCCCATCCAAACTGGCCTTGAACA